TCTTGACCATAACCAATAATTTAATATTTTTATTTGCTTTTCTTAAACTTAATATAATGAGTAAATTTTAAGCCATTAAAGTGTTACCTAAACAAAATGATAGTGTAATTTATTCTGTTTTAAATTAAGTTTCTTGTATACAAGAATAACCAATACTTACTTCAGTAATTAAATTAAAAGTTATTCTAATTTTTTATTATTTTAAAAACAAATCTTTCACTTATTTTTCCTACATAATTTGTTCCCCTCATCACCAAGAAAAATTTCAAATTTATGATGAAACTATTTAATTTGTATAAAAAACAATACTTTACTGTAATTTTTGTAAAATTTACTTAGGATAAATGTCTTTATTTTCAAATTAAATGCAGGAAAACGAAGACAAGCGAAAAAGAAAAAAGATGAACATTTGTACTGAAGGATCAGAAAACTGCTTTCAAAACACAAAAAAAAAAAAAAAGATTAATATCATAGTATTCTTCCGATATTGAATAGTAGTCAGTCAAAGTAAGATATCAGAATTATGACCTTTTTGTACATCCATATAAAAAAAGTATCTAACAGTTGTTAAAAGGAAAAAATAAACTTTTTTTTAAAAAGTTTCACACTCAAAAATAGCACTAAACTTTACATTTTTTGAAATTTCAAACATGCCATTATTTAATAAAATCACACTGGAAAATTCTTTTTATTTATTTTTTTTTTTTTTATTCTTCAAAAATAAATATTGTCCATTTTTTCATTTTTATTTCTGTCCAGTCTGAAAGAAAATAATGTTTTATTAAATTATGCAAGCATAAATCCCCCTAAAAAATTATTTTTTGAATTTTATTCAATTATTTCAAACATTCATTTTGCTGGTGCCTAATTTTCCGTACGTTTTTTTTAAGTTGGGGTGAAATTATACAGTTTCTGTTTTTGTCCTATAACTTTGCAGGCTACTGTGCATGAAGTTATTTTCATTGTTTCAACTAAAAAAATAAGTATTACTTTTACAAAATCCAGTTAATTAATCCTTTCAAACAAATCTCTCACACAAATATTGGACTTTTAAGAGATTTTAAAATTTGTTTATATTTTTTTGTCTATAATAACAGTTCAATGAGTGATGAGTGAAAAAGCTATTTTTACAATTTTAATAAAACCATAACATTTTTCTATTGGATCATGTTATTTAAGTCATGGCAATTATGTGTGAAAAATAATATCACCTAAATGTCTGCCAAATCTGAAAGAAAAAGAAAAAAATCATTAGACACTTAAACTTAATTCACATTTAAAATCGGTCGAAGTTATTGGCACACCCTATATAACTGAATAACAAGCTGGACCGAGTTTGAAAAATAAATCCAAGAAGTAATCTGAGGTAGTGTTAATAATGATGAGAAAAAAAAATTATAAATTCAGTTTTATATGTTATGGTATTATTAAAATTAAAAAAAATACCTTTTTATAACCATAAAAATTACTAGGAGGTTTTTTTCTTTTCTTTCTTTTTTTTTTTTTTTTTTAGTTTCCCAAAAAAGACCAAAATAAAACCAACAATTCAATTTTTGTATAGTTGTGGATAATTATAAATTATAAATTAATACTCTTGTGACGATCATCACACACATACATACATCCTTACGCAAATTCAAATTATACAACAACAAGCATTCATTGGATAATAAATCAACACTACCGGGTAATGGACAATTTATAAATCGCAGCTATGTGACAATTTTATAATCGCTATATTTTCATGTAGTCGATTTCGTGCACTTTTGGGAGAATCGGATCCCAGAAGCTTTTGCGAGTCTCTCCAAAACTTGCTCACTGAATGGTCAATGCCAACCAATCAGATTCTTTGCACGTGAAGAATGATTCTTCCTTCGCAGCGCTTCGGAGCCAATAATCACCTCTATAAGCAAGAAATATATTCTTAGATAATTAGTGAGATTTCAGCTGCCAAATGAATCCACGACAGTTGAAACCATGTGCCAATCTTCTCACTCACACCACTACTCACATGCTGAATATTCCCTACACTCACTCACATAATCTTTTTCCTTACACAGCAAAACTGTTGAAAACATTTATTACCAGAAACTCACAACCTTCTTCCTTTCAGTGAACTTTGGAACACAAATAATAGTTAAAGAGAGACAACTCTTGTTTTACTCAATGCATGCCTTTCTTTCACATCATTGTTTGTACATCTTGTTAAATACAAATTTTATGTGTAATGATGTCTTTGGCTTATCCTTTTTTCTTCACGTCAGTTTGGTTTCTTAATCTAAGTTAAATTAATGTGGTGAAGTCCGCCACACTCTTGCAAATAAACTATTTAATAAATAGTATTTAATATTTTTGTTGTCAATTCTCAAAGAATCTATGAATTCAGTTTCATGTTATGGCTTTATTAAAATTTTAAAGTAAGCTCTTAAAATAAAAATTGCTGAGGAGTATATGATTATAGTGGTATCTCAAGAAAAAAAATTTATTGCGGTCATTATTTCTAGCTTGACTAAAAGCAGTGATAACTAAAAATTTCACATGTAAATCATGAGTTGTCATCATTTGTAGAGGTAAAAGGAAATTAAATAAATTTCATCATGGAGAGATTTC